CTCTTTTGAAACCCAAAGTCTTCTAAAATACAATAAAAAAAAGACTTTCTTACTTCAAGAGAGAAGAACCAGGGCACACATACACAATCAAATTAAAGCAAACCAACCTCCAAAATTTTAAACAACTCAAGAACCAGGGTCTGAGATTCACTCATGATATTCTTGTCTTTTCCAAGGGGCTTGGGCTACTTTGCCATCTTTGCCCACTGCAACACACAGCTTGATTTCTAGGCTCTAGGTGGCTCCACTCCACTGCTACTGCTGTCCTTGGTGGTCATCGCACGGTCCTGATATCTCCAAAGTACTGGGGTCTTCTGCTACAACTGGCTGCAGTTTCAACAATAGCCTATCATATGTTCTATCCATGGTGATAAGTCTTAGCATCTCTGCATGACACCTCTAGTCCTGGGTCTTTAACTACCACTGAGGCTGCACCTTCCTTCCCCAGTGGCCTCTCTTGGCCTCCCACAGAGCCAAGCTTCAGCTGTTCTCCATGACCCTTTCATGCCTTCGAAACCAGTAGCACCTGGGTGACTCCTACACTACCAAGCTCAGCTGCCAGTACAAGGTACAACATTGGCCACCCCTGGAACACAGCTACTGTGTGCTTACACTCAGGAAACACTTCCCAGAAGATTTCACCCCAATGATGCTCCTCCTCCTTTTTTGTTTTATCAAGACAGGGTTTCTCTGGAGCTTTGGAGCCTATCCTGGCACTTGCTCTGTAGACAAGGGTGGCCTCAAACTCACAGAGATCCACCTGCCTCTGCCCCCCCCCCAGTGTTGGGATTAAAGGCATCAGCCACCAATGATGCTTTTCTTAATAATTGCTAATTTCTCAGTTCTAGCAGACCAGGATTGGGTATCCCTGAAAAGCAAAGGTCTTACTTTAGTAGTTCTGGTATCTTGTCAATCACAGCTCATTCTCCAGACATAGCTAATCAGAACCACATCTTAATTCAAAAATAACAAAAGGCTCTAATAGAGTCTTTAAACTGCCCTCTGAAACTTTATATATCAGGCCTCCATCATCTGCATTGCCCTCAACATTCTTTCCAGCCCCCACAGAACATCTCAATAAGCACTGAACAGTCAACAGTTTTTCTTACACAAAATTCTAAAGTTCTCCCCAAATCTTCTCCAAAACAACACAGTCAGGTCTGTCACAGCAATCCCCACTCCCAGACCAACTTGTCTTTGTTAGAGTTTCTACTGGTGTCATGAAATACCACAACCAAAAGCTAGATGGGGAAGAGAGTGTCAAGTTGATACAAAACTATCCCACATATTCACTTACATAGTTTGCAACATGTGCTTTTTCTTTCTCAAACACTGGAAAGGCATAGGCACACTTTGAATATGTTTCATTATTGCTGATTTCCAGCACACCACTATGATTGAAGCTTTCCTACTGGAGGGCAGAGACACAAGACTGCAGTGAAAATAAATTGTTCATGAAGAATTATAAAAAGACAAAAAAGAAAAAAGAAAAAGACTTCTTGATCCCGAAGGAAAAATCAGACTTTTATTTCTAACCAGTTTTTTTTTCCCAAAAAGATAATACTGTGTTGCTGACAACTAAATTGAGTCACAGTGAATTTAGCTCAATAAACATGATGGAATCATCTTTTTTTTAAACTTTTCACTACAATATATCATAGCCAAAAATTTGAGCAATTGTCTTATGCCAATCATTGTTCTAGAAATGAAATCCTAAACTGTGCAGGAAGAGGTGCTGGTAATGGGCCATGCTATGGATGTAAATGCATCACGTTTATTGTTGGGTGCTCCCTGCTCCTATACCTCTGTCAGAGAAAAGGAAGAAGGGATGAGAAATAAAACACGTTGAAATGATAGACAGTCACAGCACAAAATCTTAGACTACCTCATAGATGAGCACTCATGCTGGGATGAGAGTAGCTCTTCATATTTATCAAAGAGAGAAAAAATACCCTGAAATAGAAAATCACTGGAGGCTACATGCACCCCAAACCAAGTAGAACCTTAGAGGCTAAGGTTCCTTAGTAAGAATAATTCCTGAAGGGGACTCACTGAGAGCCTCAGCCCAGTGTTCTCTCATCCCTTGAAGAAATCATATGTAAGCCCTGATCGGTACAAGCCGGGGATGTACATCAATATCCAACAGATGACTTCAGAAAAGAGATGGTATTCACCATCAGACTCACACTCAACAGCTTTGAACTAAGTTCACCAGAACTCTGAGGCAAGCATTTTGAATTGTATTTTGACCAATGTCACAGAAGTGAAACCACCATCAGTTCTACAAGCCCAGACACAAAAGGAAAGACATCTTCATTCCAGATCAATTAACTCCATATGCCATTTTAGTTTTGCAAAATGACGTGTGTTTATTTGAATTAGAAGACTCGTTCATTTCTACAGACTTTTTCAATCCCCAGCACCCCATAAGGGATTCATTACTTCTACGGAATCATATCACAGCGTCTGACACATTGTATATCCCACACAAGCTGTTTGAATCTCTGTGTATGTTTGTTCCCCAGAATAGATGACCAGTACAGAGTGCAATGGTGGGAGAGAAGCTCCTTCCTCATGGCAGAGCATCTATTCTCGAATTCCATGATAAACAGAATGGACATTAAATGCTGTATTAAACTCTGCTTTAAAGCAGATATCCCAAAATCTTCCAAAAGTTCACCAAAAAATGTTTAGGAACAACCTATTCTTTTTAGTGCAGTTTTGGACTTCTGTTCATTAATAAATATCATGTAAGTTGTAGTTAAAGTGTTTACATTTTAGCAACTATATTTTTCTAGAGTTCAGGCTCACCCTAAAAAGTGAACTCTATCTTTACTGGACTCCTTTCAACCTCTATCCCAGAGTCCAGAGCTGTAGGATTTCCGTAGCACAGGGCAATAGCAGGATAACCAAGAGGAGAGTCCCAGTCAGGGCCCAGCATTGATAGTGTAACAGAAACCAGAGGCCTCAAACCAGACCAATGACTCTTTGTAATGAACACTTGCAATAAAGATATATGGGCAAAAGCTGTTACTGCATGACACTCTATGTCACACTGCAGCTTCCATGATGGGATTGCCCCCTGCCCCCGTTTTCCTTTTCTTTTTTTCTCTTAAATTTTACTTGTGGGGGCTGCAAGGGCAGAGGGTGGACACACAGGGTGGGAAATGAATGGGATTGAGGTGCATGATGTGAAAGACACAAAGAATAACCAAAAGGAAAGTTTCAAAAGGAAAGAATTTTATATCCTACAAAAAACTTTTGACATTATTATTTCATTATTTAATTACATATTTTCTCTCCTTCCCTCCTCCTCCTGAACATTTCCATGTACCACTCCTTGTTCTCTTCATATTAATGGCCTAGTTTTTTATATGTATATATGCACATATTTATGTAACAGCAATTAACATATATATATGATATACATAGGATATATTTAGGAGTGTATACTATAGGAGTTATTTAGGATTATATACTATATTAATATATAATGCATTGTGTTATATGTATAATATATATTTATTATTTATATTTAATAATATATAATAATATACATATTATATACATATATATTACTAAATATATCCTGTTCAGTCTGGATAATGTTACTTGAATGTATGTGTTCGGGGCTGTACTTTTGGTATTTGATATCCAATTAATGTGCGCTCTGTGAGTTACACTAGTTCCCCAGCTCTCAGCATTCCTGAATTGCCTATTTCTTTGTATAGGGGTGAGGTCTATCGGGATTTCCTTCATCTGCTTTGGCATGTCTAAATTTGTTGTCCTTTTTCAGCTCATGTTTAGGTTCATTTTGGTGAGGCTTTATGTGTGTAGCTTCCGGTATTATCAGGAGACACAGGCTCACAACAAACTTCCTGAACCTTTGGCTCTTAGAATCTTTTTGTACCCTCTCCTGCAATATTTCTTGAGCCTTAGGTGTGCAAGATGTTTTGTAAATGTATTCCCTGTGATTGGGCTCCACATTGCTGTTTACACTATTTACACTAGCTACACATGGAAACCATATACGTGTTCTTCAACTGATAAATGTAGAATGAAAGTGTAGCATATACGTTATGAGACACTATTGATCTTTAAGGAAAAATGATTCATGGACTTTGCAAGTAAATGGATGGAACTAGAAAAGATCATATTCAGTGAGCTAACTTAGGTCTAGAAAGACAAATGTTTTAAGTTCTCTCACATTGGAGTCTCCTAGTTCCAAATCTTCAGATATAAGTGTAGACATCAGCCCTTATCAAGGAAATATTTCTTTGCTGCATACAAAAATCAATACAGAAAACAACTGATCAGAACATGTTCAACTTTTAATATGGCCTCCATTTCAGTCTATGTTCTTGGTTATGAATCTCAGAACTGGGGATAACATATTGTAGGTGACACCTTTACTTACCATGTGTGCACTTGCAATTTGTGGGTCAGTTAGAGCATTCCATATTCTTAGATGGTCCTCCATAGTTTTGAAGTTACCATGATTATAATGCAGTATTAGCAAATTGCAAAACCAGAATGCAGAAGTGTTTTTGAAAGAAAGTTGTGTATGTTCCTGTCTCCTCACTTACTTATCAAAAGAGGTTACAACCTGACACCTTTAACTTCACCAAAAATGTTTTGTCAACATGTGTTAAAAATCATTTGTTCATATCATTTAGAACCCTGATAGACTTTGATTCCTCCTCTTCATTTGTGTAAATGATAAAAAAAACATTGTTAAGATGTGTCTAGTTGCACACAAATGCATATAAAGGCATGGAGGAGAGAGTAGCATAGGTGAACACACTTTTATACTGCAGACTTCCATGTACGTTTAGAGGAGGACGCAGATAAACATTGCTACCCTGGAAGGAAGCTCCTGTTTTATCAATCACTTCACTCTAATTTGCTTTTCTTAACCTTATATATAAAAACATTATTGGAATATCAGAAAAATAAAGTCATACCTATATCATCAAAGGATGTCTTTTAAAAAATTCCTATTAAGAGGAAAGAGGCCTAAGACCTATGGCTTTTCGTAGAGCCTCTTTGACTTCCTTATTTCTCAAACTGTACACCACTGGGTTGAGTAGAGGAGTGATGACGGTGTAGGTCACTGAGATGAGTCTGTCCTGCCCAAGGGAACTCTGGGACTTGGGTTTTAGGTAGATGATTGAGGCACAGCCATAGTGGATGATGACCACAGTGAGGTGGGAGGCACAGGTGGCAAAGGCCTTCTTACGGCCTTCAACTGATGCAATCTTAAGGATAGTAGAAATAATGACAACATAAGATATAAAGACAAGGCCCATTGGTAAAACAAGGACACAGACACTGACAACCAAATTGATGATATCATTGATAGTGGTATCTGTGCAGGCCAGTTTCAGCAGGGGTCTCACATCACAGAAGAAGTGAGCAATAATAAAGCCATCACAGAAAGGTAGGCCAAACACTGATGTAACCTGCACAATAGCCATGCCTAGGCCAATTCCCAGTGACCCACATGCCAAGTAGATACAGGCCTTCTTACCCATGATAACTGAATACCTTAGAGGATTGCAGATGGCCACATAGCGGTCATAACCCATTGCTGTGAGAAGAAAACAGTTGTTGATGCCAAAAGTTAGATAAAAGAAGAGCTGGGTTGCACAGCTTTGGATATCGATGGCCTGGTGAGGAGAAAGGAGACCAGAGAGCATACGAGGAATGATGGCAATAGTATAGAAAGTCTCAGAGATGGAGAGTAAGCTCAGAAAAAAGTACATGGGTGTATGGAGATGACGGTCCAGGCGAATAATAGTCACAATGATCACGTTGCCAGACAGAGTCAGAAGGTACAATGTAAGGAAGACAATGAAGAAGACAAGCCTGTGTTGCCAACCAAAGCTGGAGAAGCCTTCGAAGAGGAACTCAGTCACAAATGTGGAGTTCTTTAGCATTGAGGCAGGTGAAGGCTTCAGGGAACTGGGCAAAGGGAAAAAAGGAATGATGAGCCAAGCACAAAACAGAATAGTCAGGTCCTAGACCCTTAGTAAGTAAGGAGCATGCCCTGTCCAGCCTGGGAGTTAGATACTATTGTCATATGGACTCAACTATTTGTGCCTTGTTCAGTCTTCCTCTGTGCCCACCCTCTTCTTTGGAAATGCAGAGTAGTTAGAGGAGGACCCTTGGATTCATGGTGAGACAGAAATAATATATAAAGTCAAGTTAAAGGAAACTTGTAGAGACAGTGGCCCGATTTCAATTTTTCAACCCCTATGGCCAGAAAATTGAATCGCTGAAGCATTTGATAATTCTATCTTTAAGTTGTTAGCATCCATTTTTTTCTATATTGACTTCATCATTTTATCTCTCCACCAACAATAAACAAGATTTCCAACTTTTCTCAACCACTCCCAAATATTGCTATATCTTCATGAAAGGTTTGTAACATCATATCACCTCACTGTTAGCAAGTATTCCATTGTGCTGTGGATTTGCATTTCCCCCATGATTAGTGATAGTGAACAATTTTCTGCACACCTGAATTGAAAACAAAACTTTCAAGCAGCAGACTTGTATATTTGCATTTACTGCTGCTCAGTGCCTAAGCAACAACTTACAGAAACAATTTAGACATCCCTAGACATAAGTTTGAGAAATGAAAACCTGACATACATACAGAACAGAATGCTATCCAGCAGTACAGGAACGAAATACTGCATTTATGATACAATGGGTAAATATGTATTATCATGATATTGCAAATTAAATGGGTGACTCACAGAAGAACAAATACTGAGTGGTTTCATTTATATGAGTTTTTTTTTTTTTAAAGTGTCAAATGATAAAAGCAAAGAATGGTATTTACCAGACTATAAGACCAGGGCATTATGGAGTGGTAATTCAACAGCTGTGATATTTCAATTCTACAAAATGAATCGGGTTTTCTATCATCCCTACAAAATACTGCATATAGTTGTAATATTTCATTTCCAACTTAAAATATTTTAAAGGGTTTGATCTCATGTTAATTGTCTTACTACCTAAGGAGTGGGGAAGAGCATATAGGAACACAAGAAAATTCTCAAATTTGATAAATATGCCTTTACATGGTGCTGGTGAAGATTTCATGAATGAATGCCTATGGTCAAACTACACACACACACACACACACACACACACACACACACACACGCACACCAAGTACACCCAGTTTAGTAGTTATCCATTATCTTTTGGTAAAACTGTTTTGTTTTTATTTTATGGTAAAACTGTTTAAGGAAATCAAGAAATAACTTCTTGGTATTAGAGAAGTAGATCTAGATCATGGGAAAGGCAGTCGAGATATTAAATATTACCGTTCTTTAATCCTTCCCCAACGCATCTTGAATTATGACTCCTGAGATCAAATGAACACTTACCTAGTGAAGGATAAAAGTCATCAGATGGTGATATTTTTCTCCATCCTATCAGCTGCATTCAATGGCAAATCCCCTGTGAAGATCTTAGGATAAGTTCTCTACAGAACCCCATATGCCTTCATTGTCTCCATAAGACTGGCAACTACCAACCACTGTCATCCTGAAAAACAGAAAAAGTTGCATGTCTGCTTCCTGTCTTCCTAGGGATTCTGCCACAACTATCCTCTCACCCCATAAAACATGGTTTTTATAAGGCAGGGCAAAAATTCTTGAAATCTAGCCCCAAGAAGTAAAGAGCATTAACAAGCCTTGTATTATCCTTTTAAGGAGGGAGTGAGCTCCAGGAAGGCAAAATTCATTTAATCACAAACTGAACCATTATCCTATGCCCATTTCTTTTCTTCATTCCATGATGTATTTGGTAGATAAAGGAACTAACACATCTGTACTTTCTGTCTTCCCACAGTAATCTCAGCATGGAAGAGTCTACTGGGAGGAAATCCAAACTTATACCCTTAGCTAAGCTTAAAATTAATGTCATCTAGAAAGTCACGAGTCCATTGAATTGTTTCTATTTCATTTTTTCATTCATCCCAAGGCAATTCTTCCTAAAGATATCTTTTCTGTCTCCACCCCCTTCTTCTTCCTACTTCTCACCAACACTCAAAATCTGATGTCTGTTATTTCCTGTGTTGTTGCTCTTGTCTCTAAACCCATTTTCCTCATTTTGTTGGTCAAAGCTTGTATCTTCCTCCCAAATGCTTCAATCATGTTTTTTTTTCCCCAAAAGATCTGGTCATTAAATACTCCTGCATAGATCCTAAAATTGTTTTTAAAGTTTTAAGCATAATATTAAAATTCACTTGAAAATTGATTATAGTAATATAGCAGAGAGCTGCCACGGACATTAACCAGGTTAATGTAGGTGAAGAATCTGATCTGTACTTTACACACAGGAAGCCCTTAAAAATGGGAATGTTATTAGTGGATATTCCTTTTTACTTTGTAAAAATGACCCAGAATACATTATGGTGTAAAGGGAGGTAGGAGATTTAATTAAAAATGTAGGGATTTGTAAACAATTGTTTGGCCATCTTAAACTTGACTTATGAGTTTTATCATTTCTCCCCTGTTTACACATAGGATTTTATTTTCATCGTTAAAACTTAAACTTTTATGGGGCTAGGAGATAGATCTTTGATAAATAAACTAACCATGCAAATGTAGCCACCCGAGTTTGATCCCTGTCTCTACATAAAGATAAAAGGAGAGAATCAACTTCACAAAATTGTCATCTGACCTGAACATACATGCCATGGCACATGCACCCACACACACACACACACACACACACACACACACACACACGCCATGTACACACAAACACAAAATAATGAATAAAATGTATTTGCTATAACCCTTTCTGTAAGATGGAGTCCCATGTCTGACACTGCCTATCCAGGAACCAGAGGCTGGATATCCCAGAGTCTCGGGGTAGAACCAAACACAACTAGGAGAAAAATCAATAAAATGACTACTAATGCTGTCCCACTATACCTATAGATCAGTGCCTAGCCCAGTTGTCATCCGAGAAGCATTATTCAGCAACTGATGGGAGCATATGCAGAGAGCCACAGCCAAACACAAGGCAGAGTCAGGGAAACACCACAGGAGAGGAAGGGTAAGGATTGTAAAAGCCAGAGGGGTCAAGGATACCCTGAGAACAAACCCACAGAATCAACTAAGCAGGGCTCGTAGGAGCTCACAAAGATTGAAGCCACAATCATGGATCCTGTATGAGTTGGAGCAAGGATCTCTGCCTATATATTATGGTTGTGTAACTGGGCATTTCTGTGGAACTTCTAACAGTGGGAGTGTGTGTATCTCTGACTCTTTTGCCTACTCTTGGCAGCCTTTTTCTCCTAATGGGCTGCCTCACCTAGCCTTGATATTAGGATCTGTGCCTAGTTTTGTTGTAACTTGTTATGCCTTGTTGGGTTGATATCCCAGGGAGGCTTAAAAAAAAAAAAAAAAAAACAGAAACAGGAGGGGGGGACCTGGGGGATGGGGGGTTTAAAAAAAAAAAAAAAAAAAACAGAAACAGGAGGGGTGGACCTGGGAGATAGAGAATGTGGGGAGAAAGACTGGGAAGAGTGGAGAGAGGGGAAACTGAAGTTGGGATGTAATGTGTGAGAGAAGAATAAAATAAAATAAAACCCTATGTGAAAGTTCAACGATCATATGTTATCCTCACTAAGGTATAGAGTAGGTGAGGAAGTTCTAGCTTTGATTTAGTCCTTTTCATGGTGATGTCCTTCATTTTACTTCTCCTTTATATCAGAATAGGCTATCTAATTAAAACATGTGGGAACATGTTTCAGTGACACCAGATCTTTTGTTGGATTAAGGATGAAAGTTTGGAACCCATCAGCAATAAATCAGCCGTGTTGTCTGTGTGTACACTGAAATACTCTTCCTAAAATTAATCCCACTTGATTTGCTGGAAAACCTCTTTCATGCCTGTGATCTCCAGCATCCCTGTTTCCATTTTTCGCCATTCCATTAATCCATTTTAAATTTTTAACACCTTCAGAAACTCTATTCTAGGACAAATATGTGGTAAATTCCAGAGACACAATAATCAGTAGGAAGCACAGAATGGTAGGACGAATATGTGGTAGACTCCAGGAGACACAATAATCAGTAGGGAATAGAGAATGGGATGATACATTAAAAGCATTGGCAAGAGTAAGAGTATATAATTAGTGTCTTGGAAATTCAGATGAGGAGGGAAAGAAAATAGGAAAAAGGTAGTAATGTAAAGTGGAAAGAAACCACCAAACTCAGAAAGTGCCTGTGAGTTTGAATTTTGTGTTACTTTTCCTTTCTTTCAAATAAACAACAAAGGGTTGTTAAAAGCAAGGCTTGTCCATGGCCGAACACTAGGTAAACAAATCATCTCCAGTTTTTACTAAAGAAAAGTCTTATCTTATTGTTTATAGATGTTTTTGTATATTTTTGAGGTTTTAATTTAATTGTAGTATTTCTACCTTCTCTTTCCTCCTTCCAAACCCTCTCACATACCCCCCTTCACTCTATTTCAAATTTGTGGCAATTTTTTTCACTACTGAATTTTGAATTTCTCCTATTCATATTTGTTGCTGTGTCCAAAACTTATTTTTATTTTATCCATCAAGGTAATTTCTTCATCAATTCACTGTGTTCAACAGTCACAAATAAAAGACTGTACTTGTGTTAGGGAAAGAAAAATGACCATGGTGGTCTTCATATGCTAGGAGATTGCATTCTTGAAGAGTCTTTGAAATATGACCCAATTAAAAGCCCTTGACTGGTTTTATTTCACTCCTCTCTTCATTATTTAATGATTAATCTATAGTCCCAAATTCCCAGAAATCATATACTCCCCCTTATAAGTGACTGTGTTCCCCATCTCCTACAGACTGCAGCTATCTCTCTGGCAGCTGAGCATATGTTCGAATGAAACTCCCCACCCTAAATACTAAGGAAAATCAGACTTACCAAGTATCCTCTTCCTTCCACATTCCACTCATGGATGAGTTACATTCATCGCCCTGGAAAAGTGACCACCTGAAATAATAGGTTGCAGATTTTACCCAACTATAAAATGATTCATAGGATTTAGTCAATGCCCTTCATAATGTCATTTTAAATCCACTCATTCCTTAACTACAGGATGCAGAATAGTCTATGAGTTTCCTTATAACAGAGTCACTGATGTTTTATATGCAAGGTTATGGCTTAATCCCACCTCTCCTTTGCTGACAACTCTTTGACCCTCAGCCCTCCAAATGTCAAACCCAAAAGCAACCAGTAAGGAAAGAGACAATGCTGGGCTCAACCTTCCTGTATCTGAGATCAAAATGAAGGATAGCAAGCTCTATAAGACTTTTAGTTCAACCTGGTGGAGTAGTTAGAATTGACAATACCCCGTGGTTATCAATAAGGTATTAAACTGCTGTGCTGATTGTTAAGTATCTTTCTCCAAAGTAGCACTTTTTCTCCCCAGTGGACAGTGAGAGAAGTCAAAATACAAACAACAAAGTACCTAGAGACCTTGCTATTGAGGCAGCTCATTACTTAACCAGTAGAACACATGGGAAAAGAGATCTGGCTGAGCTTTGGAACAATCTCTAGGGTGAAGAGGCTAATTTTCCTGAGGTAAGAAGACATGGTCCTTACTGAAGTCTGTCATGTTTTGTGTCCAATTCCCCAGTACCAATAGAAGTGTGTGTAAGGCCTTATGAATTCTAAGAAGAAAGTAAAAGCAGTTACTTAGTAGAGTTTGAGCAAGGATTCCTACTGCCAGGCACACCCATGGGGTGAATTCTGATGCTCTGACACTTGAATCACATTTAAAATCTCTTGGTAGACTCATCAGTTCTATCCCTGAACTAAACGTTCATCAGTTCTATCCCTGAACTAAATGTTTATATTTTGAACATGTATTATTTACCTGTGCACTGATTATCTCACAACCTACACTCAGTCTCAAGCCTTCAGCTTAATTTGGCCTTGGACCTCACCCTAACCAGGTCATTCCTCAAATGCTACTTTCAGCTACATTCAACTTTCCATATCATAAACAAAGTTTAGCATGCCATTACACCCTCAGAATTTGAAATAGTTTTTGCATATTTTAACTCTTATTTCTTGCAGGGATCTTATACTTCTAATTTAATTTTGATCACCTTATATATGAGAACTTTCCTACTCACTCATATTTTTTTTATCTTACTGCACCTAGAACTAGCTATTCTAACAATCATTGCTAACACTTATACACTTAATATAAAGCTATGTTTTTTTTCTTTTCTTGATAGACTTAGTTAAAAAGTGAACATGTTGTAGCTCTATGGATTTTGTTTTATATTTTAAATTTTCAATGTTTTTTGCCTTTTTCTTTAGTTTGTGAAGAGAAATCGCAGTATATGAATGCTTAGGTCTTCTTGGTTATTCACTATCATCACCATTGTTGGTATTTGTCATTGTTGTTCACATTTTAAGCTTCCCTCACAAGGTTTTCCTTGTGAATACTTACTTGAGTAGTGAGTCAATGGTTGGGCAGATTGCACACCAATAGCCAGAATCCATCAGTTATCATCTTCTGCTGATCAACTTGTACACAGATTGTGACAAACATGTAAAGTTCTAACCCCTACTCAAGTTTCTGCATTTTTTTGAGTTTTAAATAATATTTTAATGTTTTGAGAGTTCCATACAATTATACTTGTATATTGAGCACATAGTTTCCCTTGGCTTTCACATTTACTCTGTTTTTACAGCTCTCCATTGAACATTCTTTGTTTCAATACAGCTAGAGGTACACAGGGTACTTAACTGTGCCCATCTAATTTCAAGATCTCCCAATTAAACTTATAGTTTATTAGCTGCTTTTTTCAGAACCAAGATGCATATCTGAGTACTGGCGGATGTCTCCAGAATGAGTTCACCACACAAAGCCAGTGTATCTGAAGGATTTTACTCAGCCTCCAATGCAAATGAAGAACGGTTTCCTCTGATTCCAAGGCACTGTTTTGTAGAGGAAGTTCTCTCAAACAAGAATAAAAGGTTCTAATAACTGAGCTATGTGGGTAAAAGTTAAGTGGCTGACCATTTGGTACTAGATAACCATTTGCAGGGCTCTTCCCTAGAGAACACTACTTTCTCCCACCCCAAGTATTCATTAGTTGTCTAATATTTTTGTCTATGATTGAGAGCCTCATGAGATTTACATCTTCTGCATTTCCATGTCTGTTGTTGACAGGCTACCATGTTATATTTAGGAAGCCACATTTTTTGAGACTTCCCAGGTGTAGATTCCCCAATTTTTCTAGAAAATTAACCTCACAGCAAACTTCCCGGTTTTCTGTCTCTTACATTATGTCCTCCCCCACTTCCATGATGTTCCCTGAGCCTTGGATGCCTTAGTTGTGTGGATCAGATAGGGCAGAACAAACGGATCATATCTAGCCAAACACCATAGGATTCTTTGTTTTCTGCATTGGATCAGTTGTCATGTTCTGTAATGGTTTCTCTGTGTTGCAAAAACAAGATTCTTTGTTGAGGGATGGGAGATACACTTACCTGTGTGTATAAGGAAAATATTTAGAAATGGTATATGCATGTAACATATGCACTGATCAGATTGCATCTATATATTTAAGGATATGTGATACATACAGCGTGTGTAAGAGTGTGTCTGTGTGAAAGAGAGAGAGAATGCAAAATAATATATTAAAGATAAAATTTTAGAGGTCATTAACTTGAAAAGTTATAATGGGAGGAGGAAGATAAAATTGGATGGAGGAAAGTAAAAAAATTACATAAAAATGGATGGTGGGAACTCCCCCAAAAAATGTTTATAGACTCTTGATATTCCAACCTGAAACTCAAGATAATTTTGCTAAGTTATTTGCCTTTAGTCAATTCCTGTTTCTTAAGATGGTTGTTAATTATAATGCAGTTGAACTTTATACAGTTGTTTGGTCTCTGTCATCTTTAATGGAAGTTTTATCTATGCTAACTTTTGTCATTGTCCCTTAATCCATAACTGGTTCTAAGCCATAGTACCATCAACTTGGCAAATGTATGCAGAAATTGATTCTAAATTTGTGAGACAGAAGTTAATGCAAGAACATGTATTATGTGTGCACTCAGATAGTGACTCTGACCTCAAAGTAGCTACTCAAGGATATTCTAATAGCTCTTGCAACTTGTAGAGCTGCTTAACTGGAATGTGGACTCACCTCTGGGAAGTCTAATAATGGCTGTTTCCTGACGACTATGATTGAATATATGTGAGGTAGTCATAACAAAATTGCCTGAACTCTACAGAAAGAGTAAGGTCTCAATGAGTCAAGAAGCAACTGGAACCATGCACATAGCAGATGTATAAAGATTATGCAGTTACTAAAAATAGTAGTAATAGTAATTAGTTATTTGCTTGTAGAGCCCTTTGATGCTATTAAATTGTTCATGATATGCTGAGAGCAAAAGGAAAATGTAAAATGGATCTTTGCAACGGTAATAATAATTTTTAAGCTCTAGTGTTAATGAACTAAATCCTGACTTGAAATACTATAAAAAGGCCAAGAGTCAGCTCATATCCCCTTAACTCCTCCAATGGTCATATCCTTGAGTATTTCTCTTATGACATTGATGAAAATACATGTTATAAATGATTTTTGTAGCCCTACCAGAAGAGAATGGCATATATTCATATGACTGGTCAGTGTTTTCTGAACTGACACTTATCCATAGGTAACAAGCAGAGTTCTGCTTAAAGGATCCTGAATGGCGCATTAAGAAGTGGAATTTGCCAGTCAGTGGTGGCTCACATCTTTAGTCCCAGCACTCAGCAAACAGAGGCAGATAGATCTCTGAGTTCAAGGCCAGCATGGTCCACAGATCAAGTTCCAGGACAGCCAGGGATACACAGAGAAACCCTGTCTGGAAAAAACAAACCAAAAAGAAAAAGAGGAGGAAGAGGAAGAGGAGGAGGAGGAGGAATGAGAATGAGAAAAAGAAGAGAAAAAGAAAGAGAGAGAGAAACAAAGAAAGAAACAAAGAAACAAAGAAGGAAGGAAGGAAAGAAAGAAAGAAAGGAAGGAAGGAAGGAAGGAAGGAAGGAAGGAAGGAAGGAAGGAAGGAAGGAAGGAAGAGAAAAGTTGAATCTTGGCATTAGAGTTTTTACAATACCACTTCACAGAAAGTTTGGTGATTCCCAAGCATATTCTGGTTTATTTGTCTATGAGTCAAATGAGACAGACATGCTGGAAAGGTATCATATATCTACCACTTTAACCCATTTCCTGAGTAAGCAATGAGCAAGAGGAAGAAAAAGAAAAGGCTCTAAAATGAGCTGAGTGTAAACAGCTTCACCACTAACATGGGACACAGTAGATACACTTTAATCCATACTGGCATGCATCTCAAGAGCATATTCCAAGGGGAATGAGCCTCCCCTTTATTCAAGTTCCCTACTCTGACAATTGAAAGAGACTATTGTGATTCTCCATATGAAGAATTAGACACTGTTCTATCAAGCTGTCACAAGAGGCTCACAGTATAACCCCTTTATATTTCTATGAAAAGCCACACTTTCCGTAGATAATCACTATCTCAGAATGGGCTCCTGAGTCATAGGTGGTTAAAGACAGGACTCCAGACCATGTAGCCTATGATGAATTAGTTTTGGGATCTCAACAATCCAATGTGATCACTCTGTCTTACTCCAGAGCTCCAGCTCCAAAACATTCACACTGGACAAACACAGTAGTACCCTAATTGTTTTTCTGAGCTCCAAAATGCCACTCATGGTTTCATGCTTTTGGATCTCAATTAGAAGTTTATATGTGATTGAGTCATCACTTCCATAGAAGCTCAAAATAAGCCTGAAGTTATGCCAAACCTTGCGTGTCCCCGGTCCCATTAGTTCCAAAGTGATTGCTCCCTCACCTTCTCTTTGTTTCATACCTCAGAATGGGTTTTTACTAATTCATCAATTCTTCCTCCATCTTTTCTTCCTCTGCCTTAAATTTCCTTCCATAACTTCATCCAGTTTGTCTTCAACATTCCAGCTTAAACTTGATGACCCAGAAAAATATTAAAAGCCGGAATCACACTAGCACAACTCACCTACACTTTTCCTTCCAGTATTTACTTTTCCTTCTAGAAATACCCCTGTGATAGTCTTAGTTTGAAATTTGCCTGCCTGTGTAGGCAGCACATACTTTAAGCAACACCATCTCCAAAATCCAGCCCACAGTCCACTTCACAAGCCATGAATCTTAGGGAGCTCTCTATGGATAAAGAATGGGAACCATTTACTAATGTGCATTAGTAAATGCCCAAACTTACTAATGGCATAAATGTATTGTCTGGTGACCAAACAGTCTGTACAGAGGCTGCATGTGTCTAGATGATGCACCTATATTTCAAACTTGTGCAAACATGGTGATGTTTTAACTATAGTTTGCTGTGTTTCACTGCTTGATAACTCTTTGGGACCAGGCACCATTAATGGTTTTATTGTGCTAGTATCCCCAGGCAACATACTTCTGGCACATAAGTGCATGCTCAATAATATTTGTTTATTCAATAAATAAGGAAAGCATCCTCAGACATAGAGTAACAGACAATTACTTTCTTTGGCATGTTTATTCTGGGTTTGCTGGTTTGATAACAAAACATGTTTCAGTTTCTGAGATGCAGGCTGCTCCTGTGAGTCACTAACCAAAGGCAAAGTGTTTCAGTCTACTAATTGCCCAAGTTTCTAATGAAGCCCCAGGGATAGGGCCTCACATTAGTTCTCAGGTGCCCCCAGTGCCCAGGAATGACTCTCAAGGGAAGTCTTCAGAATACTGGATTTATAGTCCTGTTTCTCTTTCTAGGTAAACCCCAGACAGCACATGTAAGTTTAGGGTTTCCAGAGGTGTCTGCTCTGCTGAGAGACCTTCTGAGGCCACAGGATCAAACCTTTAGCATGGAATCTGTCACTTCATTATGAAAGTCCTGCTGACACTCTGGAAATGCTTACCTGCTTGCCTTGGGAGGTTTTAAATTTTTTCCACTCTGGCTTTGTGGAGCATCCCATTCAGGGCCTTTCTGTTTGCAATCTCAGGCACACCATCTCCTAAGAAAATATCCATGATTTCCTTTTCTGAGTTCTCAATAAGTAAGTGCTTGTTGGAATGCAAAATAAAATAAAAAAGCATAAGAGAAATGGTTTTTAAATTTTCTGGCTTTCCTCAATTTCCTGCTCTCTCTTTCTGATGATTTTAATGATACAGAAGTTTCAGACTTTCTTGATAACTTTCACAAAGTCTGGTTGAGACCTAAAGTGAAATATAATATTCTCTCAGGCTTTGTCTTAAATAATGGAAGAATCTTCTGAAAGTCAAGACAAGACAGCAAATAGGACTGCCTTTGTAATCCCAGTGTTGTCATCCGCAACTAAGGGCTTTGTGTCTTTTGAGGCAGCAATGCTGAGAGTTACAGCCAGTGACTCCTTCTCTTCTAGACCAAACATCTTGCTTGAATATTCATCCTGAAGGATTTTTTTCAATGCAAATGAAAATGTGTAGTCAGATATGCCAGGACCTCACACTTCTGGCAAGAAGTTTATCTCACTGAGTCTCAACTTCTCTATCAACAAAATAAAATGATTTGTGTATTTGGGGAGTAATTTTAAAGACTTAAATCACATAGCCTGTCTACACTGGATAGCACCAATTGTTACTTAGTGTAGTTTGTTCCTCACTATTTCAGTCTTATCTAGTTCATGGGCCAAAATTGTAATTCTAACAATTTTTGTCACCCAAGAGCTACTTTGATTCTATTTTTTATGATCATTACTGGATCACTAGACTTGTTCTATGTCTTTTCATAAACATTATGTGGCCATTCAATCATTACTCCAGGAAAATAAATATACTTGGCTCACTCCGTATGTATGTGGGTGTTAAGTGAGTATATAATATATTGACTCAAGGATTCTACACACACTTGGAACAGAGAACAGAAAGGGAACACCAGACTTTCCTGAAATTTTCCTTCCCACCAGGTATTAATACCTGCTTTACAAGTGTGAAACACCAGGTCCTTGACTGTGACTCTTCACAGAAACCATCCAAACCAACCCCTAACAAAATAAACACACCCCTATGTCTAATAGCGTTCTCTAAAGTGAATGCATTCTCTCCCTGGCATCAGCACTCCATCTGGCCCTCAGGTGAAACAGAATTTTTTTCTTCCAGGATTGAGATTTCTTAGTGACAAAGGGCTTGGAGCTACAGGTCAGGATATTTAGGCTTCAGAGTTACCCTTCCAAATTGGGCAACTTTTTTGTTCTTTTACAAATTATTTCTTCACATTATCTACCAGGTGGCTGCTTCTGAAGAAGAAAAGAAGATCTTGTAGACAAAAGTCCATTCACTTTTCTCCAATCATTTTTAGAAATGGAGCCGCTTATCTAAATGTGGACTGGGAAGTGAAAACCAACTCAAGAGCCATTTGTGTGTCCCTTCTGAATTTTAAGTGGTAAGACAACATCTTCATCTGTCTGTCTTTCTGTATACTACCTCTTTGTGACCATTCTCTCAGGCAGCCTTCCAATTTCTCCACTTAATGAGTGCTGTAGACATTACTGCTTCCTGTCTATCTATATATCAGCTTTTCTTTTGCTTGGATGCTTCAGACACTCCATATGCCTGCAATGCCCCTAAAGATAAGAATCATGAGCTCTACATCTCACAGCTCTGAAAGTTCTGAAGTCTACACTTTTACGTAATTATTGTGTCCCAGGTCTGGGTTCCCAAGGCAGAGCTTCTGTGGACATCCAATGAAAGGGTGATTCTTTCCTGCAGACAGGAAGTGCTCAAAAACATTCCATTGTGTGCTGGTTCATTCAACAAGTATTTGTTGATGGCCTAAAAGAAAAAGATAGAAATGAGGATTGGTTCTAGAAATCTGGAACTAAACCGGTATGAGCTCTGTAATCAAAGAGCTCATTTGATAGTCAAACAAGTAATTGCAATCACATGTGACAAGAGGGATCAAACAAATAAAATGTCAAGAATAAATGATGAGAGGAATATATGAATGGAAAACAGTTGGGAGACTAGCGTGAAGGAGATTATTTTAAATCCCCACCTATGCTGTAATATGTATTCATTATGGCTCAGCTCTCATTTTTCTCCCTCTCTGTGATTGCTTTGCCCTGGGTCAGCACCACTTCTTAATTACTCTAGCATTACCGTAAGTCCTGATGTTGGAAAGGTAAATCTCCTTTCTTTGGATGCTTCTGGGACTTTGCTCTTGTGTATATATATTAGCATTAGTTTGTTCATCCAACAAAATAAAATAACCAACTTGAGATTTGAGTGACATGTACTGACTCCACAGATCAATTTGGGACTAGGTGAAACAGTGAGAGTATTGCCTTAGAATTCATAGATGTAACCATTTATTTCACACTTCTTTAGGATGGTTCATTAGGTTTTGAAATTTTCTCTATAGAGGTCTTTATTAATGAGTACTTGATTTTTTTTGAAATGGTGATAAATGATGTTTCCTAGATTAAATTTAGTATAAGTTTGTGGAATGCAGAAACGCAGGGAAGTTTAACATAGTAAGTTTTGTGCCAAAAAGCTTGCTGAGGTCTCTTAATAATTCATTATCATCTTTTGAATTTTCTATGATTATAATCTGTAAAAAAATCCAATTTTACTTATTCTTTCTCAATCTTTGAATCTTCATTTTTTATTACCTTACAGGATTGGCTAGAATACCCAATGTAATGTTGAAGAGAGGTAGATAAAGCCATCATGTTTATCTTGTTCATAAACATAAAGAAAAACCTTGGATACCTTGGCACCAAGTATGATGTTCACTGTAGGGTTTCTGCCTGTGTTTATCAGCTGAGACAAAATACTTTATTCTCAGCTTTCTATGGGTTTTCTCAAGTACAAATATTGAAAAAATTAAAACCTGTATCAGAAGCAATCCAAATATCATATGAATCTCCCCAATTTAAACACTTTTTGAAGAAACATAATTGAAGAATTGTAATTTTAAATAAATTTTCCATTCTAAAAGAAATCTTTGTCACTTAACTTTCTTATATACCTTTATATTTAATTTGTTAATATCTCATGCAAGAAATTATATTTCAGAGGCGGATTTGCTTAAGTGTTTTCTATGGCAATATAACATTGAAAGTTTATTAATATTGATGTTTTGAATTAAATTTCTTATACATTTCCTCTAACTAGAATTCTTTCTTTTATTTTTTTTGTGGTTATAATATGATTACATCATTTCTCTGTTCTCTATCCCTCTTCCAAACCTTTCCATATATCCTCCCCTGTTCTCTTTCAAATCCATGGCTTTTTGTTTCACTAATTGCTATTACATATTACTAAATATAACCAGCTTAGTCTGTATTATGTTAGTTTCTATGTGTATTTTCAGGGCTGACCATTTGCCGCCAATTTGCATGCTCTTCTCTGGATGACTATCTGTCTCAGCATTCCTACCTTATCTGTGATTCTTTGTGTATGGTTGAAGACTTGTGCCCGACTCCTATCCATTTTGACATGTCCATTCATGTCATCCTTATTTAGATCATGTTTGGACAGTCAAGTTGGTGACACTTCATAAGTGTAGCTTCAGACATTACTAAGGGCCCAGATCGCACAATGATGTCCCTAATGCTCTGCCCACTCCTCTGCAATATTCAATGATCCTTGGTTAAGAGGGTGTTTTGTAGATATATCCATAGTGACTGGTCTCCACAGCTCCAGATTTTGATTGCATGTGATTTTCTTACCTGAGAATTGATGTTGCTACCGGTGGGGCTGGGCCTTTCTACATTAATTAGTAATTAAGACAGGCCCACAAAGCAATGACCACAGACCAACCTGATTGAGGCAATGCCTCAACTGAGGTTTCTCCTCTTGATGACTCTAGGCTGTGCCAATTTTAGAATTAAATTTGACCAAGACACTGGAGTTTTCAGAGGCTTGGTTTATTTGTTGTTTTTTTTTTATTGATTCATTGAGAAGTTCACACAATATGTTTTGATCATGTTCATTCCACTCTAACTGCTCTCAGATAGAACCCTTCCCTACTTGTAATTTTTTAACCCATCAAGTCCACTTTGTTTTTCTCATATCCTCAGATGTGTGACCTTCTACTTATGTATGGTCAACACAGCAGGGACAACATTAAGTTGTAAAGAAAATTGACTCTTCCTCCAAGAAACTGTCAATTTCCAATAGCTCCTTTGTTTGGGGTAGAGTTTCACATATACCTCCCTCTCTGTGTTGAGATCTGGCCAGAGCTAGGACAAGGATTGTGCATGTAGCAATTGCTCTGACTTCCTATGTGCAACTGTCATGTTGTGTCTGGGGGACACTGTTTCCCTGTGTTCACTGACCATCTCTGGTTCATAAAGACCTCTTCCCCTTTTTGTGAAATGATCCTTGGGCCTTGGAAGGATGAGACAGAGAGAAATATTCTGTGAGTGTATGCTGAACCTTGGCCAGATGTAGGTAACTATATGAATCCCATCTACTTCAAGTAGATTATTCTCTGATAAGGGTTCAGATATGTGTTCATCTATGAGTATAAATCATTAAGAGTCACCATTGTATATCATATACATATATTTAGAAGAATGATTGCTGTAGATCCTCCCCTGGAGCTTAGAACCTGACTAGCTACAGGATTCTGCTCAACAATGGTGCCAGGTATGAGGTGTTTTTCAATTAAATACCAGTGGCTAGGAGTGTAATCATTTCATTTTACTAAAATTATATTGCAATAAAATAAAAAGAAGCTACTTTCTCCTTTTTTTCCGAAACTTATCTAGTTATGTTCCTTTATTGGTTGATAAAGTTTATTCATATCTTCTTTCTCTTTGTCAATTTCACTAGTGTCCTACATTTAAGCTTATAAACATTTAACTTTATATATCTTATCATTTTATTCTTCTTTTATTTTATTACCATGTACTTCATATTATTTTTTCTTCCTATTTTACTTTTTGTCTTTTTAAAATGAGTTTATGAGATGGACATTCTTCTGACTATATTACCCATTTTCAAAATAAACAATTTAAAGTATAAATTCAACACTAATAACCTTCTGTGTATATCACACATGTTTTGGTTATCATTATTTTTATTATTATTTGGTTCTAAATAGTTCCCAGTTATCATTATGAGCTCTTGTAACTTTTTTTTTTTTTGGTTTTTTGAGATAGGGTTTCTCTGTGTAGCTTTGGAGCCTATCCTAGCACTCGCTCTGGAGACTAGGCTGGCCTCAAACTCACAGAGGTCCACCTGCCTCTGCTGGGATTAAAGGCGTGTGCCACCAACGCCCAGCTTCTGGTAACCTTTTATAAACTATCCATTTTATTTTTGAAAATTTCTAAATTTTGTATGCTCTACACTAAGAATTATTTTGTAAAAGAGAATCCAATTTTAAGAAATTTTCAAAACAAATTTTATGGGCTATATACAACCATTATGTAAAGGATCAAAATTTACCCGGGAAGAATGTTTTACATCAGGTTCTTAGGGAAGGCTAATTAAAGTTTATTTTTATTTCTAGTCCAAGGACACAGTCTATCATTTCTGAAGGCATGAGTTGATGTTTTTATTGTTTTTAATTTTATTTTGGTGTATGCTCTTATTTATGCAATTGCATGTGGTTATGCAGGCATGTGTACATATGTGTAGGTGTGGAAGCTAGATACCAACCACAGATATTAATGTGTAGATGTCATCAAATTAGACTTTTTTATTTTCTAAGTCTGAGTCTTTGTTTGTCTGGAGCTCACTGAATCTAGGCCAGCTGCCAGTGAGCCCCAGGGTTCTACCTGTTTCCACATCCCCAGTTCTGGGATTACAAGCATATCCCATGATGCCTTCCTCTTATTTATATATTTTTAAACTGTAAGTTCTAGTGATTGAAATTAGGGAGTCATGCTTTGGAGATAACGACCTTATGAATTGAAGGTCCACTTCTCTACATCTCCATCCATGAGTTTTTAACCGAATCTGCAATACAGGATCTTTTCTCTGCAGTGTAATGAGGGCACTAAGACACAGTGTTCACCTTCTCTTTATCTTTCAGATCTGAGCTCCTCAATGAAGAGAACCAATTTCACAGGGGTGAGAGAGTTTGTTTTCCAAGGTTTCTCCAATTACCAAGAATTCCACCTCACACTCTTTGTTGTCTTCTTTGCCCTGTACCTCCTGACTCTGGCTGGCAATGTCATCATCGTGACCATTATCCGTATTGACCAGCACCTTCACACCCCCATGTATTTCTTCTTAAGTGTTCTCTCCACTTCAGAGACATTCTATTCCCTGGTCATCATCCCGCGAATGCTTGGTAGCCTTGTGGGTCTGAGCCAAACCATCTCGCTAGAGTGCTGTGGGACACAGCTCTTCTTTTTCCTTGGATTTGCAATCACAAACTGCCTCCTGCTAGCAGTCATGGGTTATGATCGCTATGTGGCCATCTGCAACCCACTTCGCTATACCATCATCATGAATTGGAGGGTGTGTGTCATTCTGGCATCTTCAGTCTGTGCCACAGGGTTCCTTTTCTCACTAGTTCAGGCTGTGTCCATTTTCAGGCTGCCCTTTTGCAACTCACTGATTGAACATTTCTTCTGTGATGTCCGACCTGTTTTAGATCTGGCCTGTGAAGTGCCAGTCGTCAATGATATCTTGACATTAGTTCTCAGCCTTCTGGCCATCACAGCACCCGCCACTTTCCTATTTGTCTCCTATGTCCTCATTATTTCCACCATTCTCAAGATAGCCTCAGCTGAGGGCCGGAAGAAAACTTTTGCCACCTGTGCTTCCCACCTCACTGTGGTTGTGATCCACTATGGTTGTGCCTCTATTGCCTACTTCAAGCCCAAGTCAGAGAATACCAAGGACCAGGACCAGCTGATCTCAGTGACTTACACTGTTATAACACCTCTACTAAATCCCGTTGTGTATAGTCTGAGAAACAAAGAAGTTCAGGATGCCCTTCGGAAAGTGATGGGTAGGAAATCCCTATCATAGTTGCTAATTTATGTCCAAATAATTTCATCTTTTTTCATATGGAACCCGACAGGTAAAGTTATGAAGCCTAGGTTTCATGTGATTAGAAGTCTCATACATCATAGCCAGGGCCAGGGAGAGGGCAAAAGTGGAGCTGGGAGCCAGCCTCTAATAATTGCATTCCATTTCCTCAACCTCTTTGTTAACATAATAAAAACACAGGTCACTTTCAAGACCTGTGCACAGACAGCCATTGGCCCTACTCCAGAAGATAATTGCAAGGTCAGAGTATGATCTTATGTTCATTTTGAGCTTAAATTTAAAGGAACCAATCTATTTCTTGTTGAATTATAAACCACACATTAAACATTACTCAATGGAATATTCTGTTAGTATAAATTAGATGCTCAAGCAAGTGGAGAGCACACGAAGGATATGTACAGACATCTAACTGCCTTGTGTTTTAATAAGATAAGAAATGCAAAACTAAAGACATATTTTAAGAAATGGATTTGGGACAAGCTAAAACTTCCTAGACAAACTATCTTCACGAAGTCACACATGGAACTCCAAATGAACTCCACTTTTCCTATCTGCTACTAGTATAACTCCCAATGAAAGGGAACTAAGAAAATGTCATGAAGAGGGAAGGAGACATTAAATGGAAAAGTTTATAATCAGTTAGGACAGCCACAGGAGTCTGGCCATATCATCTGAATGCAAGTGACTTGGTCTGTTCATTGCTCTTATTATTGAGAAGCCAGATGGAGGAGAGGGCTTTCTGGGGCTGATAATAAAATCATCCTTCATAGAAAAGAATCTTTTTTAAGTCTCAGGAAGGAAGAGGAGGTTCTTGAGGGAGAAGATTGCTGAGAAGTCTGTGAAATTGGTGAAGCAGGAAAAGTTAGGAAGAAATTGTCTGAGAACTTCCTGAAAGTTGAATGGAAGTGTGAGATGACAGGGTGAGGAGGGCTAAGAGGAACAGAAGGACTTTAGAAAACATCCTTCTGATTGAGCCTCCTTCTTCCCCTTGTAAGCCAAGTCACCGAGGCAAGGGAAGGGAACTAGGTGGAAATTTAAGCCATGATAACTCCTGTGTGAAATAAATTAGATGATTCCATTACTGAGGAAAAACTGAGAAAAAACTGAGAAATGTAAATAGTATGGAATTATGATAAGAAGCCTTCCAAAAATTCAATTATCTGAGCTTGAAATGAAATAACAACAGACTGCTTACTCTTCCTATCCTCAAAAAATGAAAAAAAGAGAGAATAGGGGTAAATTTTAGATTCTGTTTTCGAGAAAAAAATGAGTGAATGTATACAACTTACTAATTTGAAGGAATAATTATTGAGAAAATTCAAGTATTTTATTATACTGAAAAGTTAGCTTCAATATCCAAAAGAATACTTGAGTACACATTATTCTCCTTGTAAAATGTTGTCAAATTACAGAAATACCTAATGAAGTATGCAAAGTGATGGTGCATGCAATATATTATGTATCAGGTAAATAATATAAGAAGTTCCCTTTTCCATCTGCATTGTCATTCAGAACTCCTAATTCTCCTAGATTTTTTATGTAAACCCAGTCAGTCAAAGATGAGTAATCCAGGTTGAGTAATGAATAAATTTTGAGTTACTGTTCTTTTGTTTCCTTCTGCTTCTCTTCACAATGCCCTATAGCAAATCCAGTTCTAAGCAATGTTTCTTACCCTGAAGGAAAAGGAACCTCATCCATGCTCATTTCTACCTCTGTTTGCTAGATCTCAGGAAGACACATGACCCACAGTCAACCCAATTGTTATGCCTTGAGAGGACTTTGGTGTTTTCATGTACTTTCATCAGATTCCAGCACTTCATGTCTTGTTTTCAGCCATCCAGTGACCATTCTATGTCCACCAGTCCTATATTAGCCTCTTATAATCCTAGACTTTTCAGCTCTATTTGTGATCCTATGATGTGGTGAACTGGAGTAAACTTGGCATCCTCAAACCAACCATCTAACACCTCACTTACCTACCCTCCCTTTCAGGACTTTCTGAGTGGCTTCTCTGGAAAGTGAGGAACATTCACACTCCCCTGGCTTACTGACTGAGGGCATCAAGATTTATCTGGGGCCGGCGGCAAGAGTCTGCCTCCCCTAGTATCCCACTAACTGAAATGCCTTCTTATCCAAAGGTTGTATGTCTTTATGTTATCCAAACAGAAAACCCAGAATTCTTCTCAGCTTCATAGTTCACATTATATGTTTCACACAGAATATATTAGTGCTTAGATTTTGATACTCAAAACCATTTTCTCCAAACTACAAGAATCTCTTCTATCTAGAAAAGTTTGCTAAACTTCAAACCTCTTTCAGTTTCAATACTAATGTTTCAGTTATGAGTTCTTAAAAGTCTGTTTTGAAATTCAGTTGACTTCCTCTCTGGACTCCTTTGATTTTTCTCTGGGGCAAATAATGTTCCCTAGAGTCCTTTAGAGCAATGTGGAATAACAATAACAATTGGGAAAACAGGAGAAGCTTTATATTACCACCCACAAGATATCTATCCAGAGTTTGCTTCTTTGGAAATTCAGAAATCATTTACTTTTCATTTGGAACATTTAAGAAAAAAAAAAGCTCCTGTCATAAGCTCACTGCCCTTGAATAGAAAATTCTATTTTAAAATATGGCTCTCCAGTAGTGAAAGGTTCAGGCATTATGCTGGCCTGCTTGTGTTACCTGGCAGAATCCACTCAGGCAGTACTCTGGTCAGTCCAGGGTTCCATGAATACTACACTGCCTGAAGGTGTAAAGGACCCCTTTAAAACACAGACCCCTGCCCACTTATGCTCTCTTTCCCTTGATGCTCTCTTCTCTTACCCTCTTCATCTCTTCTCGTCTGTCCCCTCTCGCTCTCCCCTCCCCCACCTTAATAAACTGGTTAATATAGCTCTCGGATTCATGTTCCATTTAGCATGTTTTGTCTTTATTTAAACAAAAGTATAACAAGTAGTATACATGTCTCCAACAGAATGGAGTTCAAATCTCCTTTCCTGGAGGTTAATCCTGTCTGCCAGCCACATCTCCATCTAACATGTAAAGTGAGGTAGGTTTTTCATCTTTCTAGTGGGACAGAGGGCCTTTTCCTATTTTTGCAGAGGTCTAACTCCTCAGAATGTCCAATACATCGACTGGGCTGACAGAGATTCAGGGAAAGCAGTAATTAAAAGACTGTTAAAGACTGCTAAAATACAGGACCTCTAATCAGTGGGTACCAAATCCAAAATGACAAAAGATACAAGTATGAGGAGGGGAACTGTTAAGAACCAAGTGGGTAATGGGATGGGAGGGAGTGTGGAGAAGGTGGGGGTTAGGGTGATGACAAAGTCCTTTTTACATATTTGAGGTTCTCAAAAAGCACATTCAATAAAAATCTAGGAGAAAGAAATGTGTCTATCCATGATCACATTACAAAAACTGTATCTTCAGACTGTTTGCAAGCATTGTACAAGTGCATCAGTTGGGACTGATGCATTTTGTGACATTTGAAATGACTGTCTTTTCAGAATTGTCAGTCAGATATGCACATGAAGATAGGCCTTCTTTTATTTCTTTTTCCCTTTTTCACTTATTTGATTAACTATTATTGATTCTTTGTGTTTTTCTTACTTTTTATTTATTTATTCTCCATTTTTATTTAAATTAGAAACAAGATTGTTTCACAAGTCAATCCCTCTTCCCTCTCCCTCCCCTCCTCCCCTGACCCCTACTAATACCCTACCTATTCTATACCATTTCTGCTCCCCAGGGAGACTGAGGCCTTCCATGGAGGGATCTTCAGAGTCTGTCATATACTTTGGGTGTTTTTTATATCAAGAATGCCAATCCATCCCATCCCCACCTGCCCCCTTGGCCCTTGCAACCTCCCCACTCAAAGCAAAACAAAATTTAAAAGAAAAACCAAAACCAAACTAACCAAACAAGCAGACCAAGAAACAAGAAAGATGAAAAAATAAAGAATCTCAGGAAACTGTGGTGTGGTCTGGTAAGTCTGTCTCTGACTCTCTCTCTCTCTCTCTCTCTCTCTCTCTCACACACACACACACACACACACACACACACACACACACTTCACCCTTTAGTCCTTTTATCTCCATTTACAAGTAATCATTGCCCTGAGTCTTGGGTCTGGTTCAAGGCCTCTGTCCTCTGTCACACTTTTGACAATGGACTCTGTGGCTTTGGCTGGAGTGTCGTCATTGTCCTGCATCATATAGATCCTGCAGGTTTGGCTCTGTAGGTTGCCCTCTTCTCATGTTCTAACAATTCATAGATGAAGTGGATGTTGGAGTGGGCCCTCTCTCAGCCCTGATCCTAGGCCTGGATGAAAAGGGCCAACCTCTACTGTTTTGCCCAGGCTCAGAGCAGGGCCCTCTCTCCCAATTGCTATAGGGGGCATACAAAGGGGTGGTGGTGGGGTGTCAGCTCTTCTGTTCTCACACCCTCCAGCCTGGCTCACCTGTGCCCCTGACAACCCATGGAGTGCTGGTGTGCTGCTCTGGTGGATTGCATGGTCCACTCTCCTGTACTGCAGCTGGTGAGGGGCAGGGCTAGCTCTCCTACTGTTGTGACCCAAGGAACAGCTGACTAGACCCTGAGCATCCACATAGCCCTCAGTGGTAACAAGAGTCCTGGACATCACTCCAGACCCCAGCCACTGCAGGGCTGCAGACATGGCCCAGACATGACCCTAGGCAACAACCTGGGTCCTGACATTTCCATGGTTCCAGTTAGCCGCACACCCCCACCCCAGCCAGGTTAATATGGCCTCTGCAGTGACATGGTCCTCAGACCCCAACTTGGTCTCAAGTGGATGACTAGACCCCAGGCATCCACACAGTCCTTTGTGGCAACAGGAGCCACAAATGTCAACTCAGACCTTCCTGCAGTAGGGCCACAGATCCGGACAGTAGTAGCCCTGTTTCTGACAACACCATGGCTCTGGGTGACAGTGTAGGCGGTTCAGATCAGCTTGGCCCTGGAGGCAGCAGTGCTCTTAAACCCACGTGGACATGGTTTGTGGCCTAGATCTCTGGCATCCTTGTGGCTTTTGGTGGCAACCTGGACCATGGACATCAATACATACCCCAGATGTAGTAGGATAATGGACCAGATATGGTCCTAAGAAGCAGCCAGGGTTCAGATGTCACCATGGCCCCTGGTGGCAGTGCAGGCTGCCAGGTTTGGCATGGTCCCCAATGGAGTGTGTCCCTTGTACACCAACATGTCCTCAGGCAGCTCCCCTGATCCCTATAATGAGCATGGTCATTGATGGTCTTAGAAGCAATGCATATTAACACAGACCCAGACTGCAGCAGGCCCATGGACCCAGATATGGCCCTCAGCAGCAGCCCTGGCTTGTATAGCACCATGGACCCAAGTGACACTGCTGGCCATTCAAATATACATGGTCTAGCAGCAGCACAGTCCTCAGACACCAACACAGTCACAGGCTGCATCCTAGACTCTGGGCATCACTGTAGACTTTGGTGACAACAAGGGCTAATAGATATCAATATGGACCCTGACCGTGGTAGGACCATGACTTCATTTTTTGAAGAAAAAACTTAGTCTAGAAATACCTACTATAAGACATAATGGTCACCCGCCCCTTGCTTCCCTGCTGTTCTATTAAGTGACAAGTTAAGTTCACAGTGGACAATTTAATTCCTCTCCTCCCACTATCTTAAGAAAATGTTAATAATTGTCCAGTACTTCTTATTTTTAAACTCAGCCTGATGTCAGTTGATTTCCCCCTTGTTGGCCATTCATATTTGTCTTTAAATATAGGCAGTTCTTGGAATTCAACTTGTTTTCAAAGGATAGCATTTTTCCAGTGATAAAACATCCTTTGCTTCACATGGAACAACTTATATTCTGGGACTTAGTATAGTTCAAAAATTTCAATACTATTACATTTCTGTAGTCATTCAATCGGTCAACACCATTAAGCATTACAGCTTTTAAAATTTCAGTCATACAATGGAGGAAGTTACTTTTCATTTTTCTTTGTACTTTTCCCTTTTATTGATATCAAGTTTTTTGAGTTCTTTATATATTTTGGATATGAGTCTTCTATAAGATATGGAGTACATAAAACACTTTTCCCATTCTTTAGGCTGCCACTAAGTCTAAATGACCAGCATTCTTGGTGTTACCGAGGTTTTCATTTAGATACACTTTATTGATTTTTGATCTTACTGCCTGAGTTAATAGTGCTCTATTCAGAATGTATTCTGTGCCAATGTGTTCAAGGCATGTATTTTTCTATTAGGTTAAGTGTATCTTGTATTCTGTTTGGGTCTTTGTGTGGTTTAGCTATCAGGGTAACTGTGGCCCCATATGGCAAATTGGGTGTAGTTACTTCTGTTTCTATTCTGTGGAATAATTTGAGGAATATTGGCTTTAACACTTCTTTGAATATCTGGTAGAATTCTACACTAAAACCATCTGGCTCTGGCCTTTTCTTTCATTGAAGAAAATTCCATGAGGTGCAGAGAAGACTGTATATTCTTTTGTGTTTGGGTGAAATGTTCTGTAAATATCTGTTAGGGC